ATTGAGAGAGCAACACAGAGACTAGCTCGTGCTAGGGAAGAAGGCGATAGTGGTGTTTTCAAGCCCAACAGAGAGAAGGATGAATTGACATATGCCCTAGAGAATCCGAACACGGTGGTGAACAAGAGGCTATGGGGCGGTTCTGGTGGCTACACGCATTCCCAAAGCAGACAAGGATACCTCTGAAGCCGCCAGAGAAAGAAGGATGAGGAGGCGAACTAATTCGTGCATTGGAGCAATTTGTTGATGAGTCACGACAAGCATTGCTTGAATCACGTGAACGAGAAAAATCTCTTGAGGCAAGAATGCAGGAGGAGATCAAGAGGCAAGTGCACTAGCAATGAGTCAAATGCAATCGCAATCAACGCCGGAGTCACCATTAGCCCCGTTGGTCGATGAAAAGTTATTGTGCTTCTACTGAGCTGCCGATTATTCAAGACGACGCTGGGTTGCGCTTCCCTGTTGATGACATTACCGAGCCTCTAACAAAATGTGAGTCGCACATTCCAGATGGTAATGCATCAATCATGGTGGTACATCGGGGTTGTATCTCCAATAGACCGAACGAAGACACCAAGAATCCATGGGTCGATTATTCAACCCGGATATGCTAGCGTCTCGGTCGATAGAGTGCTCAAAGGTTACTGACAATGTTCCTCTTGACATTGAAGGCGGTGATGGGGAGAAGACACTAGGAGAAACAGAGAAGACATTTATTCAATGGCGCAAACGCTTCATCATCATTCCCGGGCGCCACCGCTTCCCCTACCTCACCCTAGGTACGAATGAAAGTGAATGAAATATTATTTTCCATTAATTTTCTATTGGCTTCAAAAATAATTGACACACAAATTGTTTTTATAGCAGGTCTCTCCCCACCTAGCCTAATCATTCATTCCCCATCTCATCACAGTGTCGCGGGGGGGCGAGACGACTTCATCCCCACGGCGATCGCCAACTCCTACAACGGCCCCATCGCCTCCACAACGATCTCCAACTCCTACACCGCCCCACCGCCTCCACAACGATCTCCAACATCTCACACGGTCTCCACCAACACCGGCCTCATCGCCTCCACGCCGATCTCCAACACCGCCCCACCCCCTCCCAAATGACGCACTACAAAGACGTCTAAGGTCCCAAGTGGCAAAGAAGACCCCGAGAAAAAGAGTTATTTCTCAAGAAATACTTCTGAAAAAGACCGATGAGCAAATAGCGGTGAAGAAGACAAAAAAGTAAAAGATTTTTTATAGATATCAAAACAAGAGTCAAGCAAAGCTTAAGGAGAAGCCGTGATTTTTACATACCACGAGATGTGCTTTGAGGCGGAAGGTCGATGCTCACAAGAAAAAGATGATTGAACTTCGTAAGCCTTCGCCACTATCGGACTATGATCGCTCCCTCGTAAAGTCACATGATGCGAGATAAGAAAAGGAAAAGAGCATCGAGGGAAGGATGTCCCACAGCTCGGACAAATGAAGCAACCAATGCAAAATCTTGTTGTTGCTAATGAATATGGTTCCAACATAGAAGTCTATTGACGAGACAACTCGGAGAAGTGTCGGTTCAAGCCCTTAATGCTTTTTTTAAAGATTTGGTTTAACCTTGGATCAATTGACGGGCAAAGCTCCAATCCGAACACGGAAGTTGATACCGGAAAACTTATAAATATGGCAAAAGTCCGTACAACCTCGCGGCTCTGAATGAATTGGCATGCATAAATGTACTTGCTCAACAAGTGGTACATGCAAAGTGCAAAAGGTGGGTGAGCAGTGGATCTTTGTCGATTTAGAGACCATCATTACTTCCGTGGCGATGACATCTTACATATTAGTTTCAAGAATTGCATCAACTATTCCACTTGGACGCCTTCTGGACAAATCAATCATTAGCTCCTTTTGTTTGTAAGTGATTCTTACTTTTATTTAATAAACTCACTTCCATGCGCGACGTGTATATAATTATCCTCACATGTAACTTATATTTATATACAGATTCCAGATGTCAGAGCTCCAAAGAATACAAGACACCAGTGTTGGCTTCATTGATCCTTATATCGTATTCAAAACCGGTATTATTATCAAGGAGCGATGGGTATCTGAAGCACAGGAGAATATCATGATGTTCTTCATGAAGCAGCACGACAAGACAACAATACTTTTCCCGTACAACTTTGAGTAAGTGTTAATAATAATGTAGTCTACACATTTTATGTAATATCAATACAACTTATATGCATGTACGTGTGTATATAAACCAATGCAGTTTTCACTGGATACTCATTGTCATTGAGTTAAACTCAAGTCGGTTACTAATCTTTGACTCGTTGAGAAAAGAACGGGCATGATACCAAGATATGATAGACATTATCCAGGGGTAATTTCGATCTCTCGCGCACAACTATTATTGAATAGACTTTGCCATAATTTATTAACGATCGTACATTATTGGTCGCATAGGGTTTGGAAAGAGTTTATTCGGCAACATCGCAAGGATTGCAAGGCACCACTTAATGTAGTTGAAATACCAGTAAGTTGTACTATATACACTTCCCCACGTGTTTAATTACTATATCGTACTTCAATTTACGTGTGAGATGATGAGAATAATCTTCTTCTCGTACAGTGGTGTTTCTTGGCGAGAACGTGTAATAACTTGTGTGGATACTACGTTTGTGAATTTATCATCTGCGCACATAAGAAGAACTCCTCGAAGATGTCCTCGAGTACGTATATATCAATTTTATTTATTTTTAAATGAATATATATACATATATGTGTATTAATACTTTTCCTTTTATTTCAAATGCAAGATCTGAATGGTTGAAACGAAGGGTCATGCAAAAAAGACCATCCGAAAGCAGTTCAAGAGTCAATAGCGAGGATATCTTCTAGAAAAGTGCTAAATCCCAACGCGAGTTCTACTTTGATCTTAAGGAATAAATGATGTAAATTAAATGTTTATTGATATCGTTATTTTCGAGAACAAGATTATGAAAGTGTTGTATATATACATATATATATATCTATAATATATATAGTTTCATACTTTATTCGAATATAATAATGCTCAAGATGAGAATTAGATGTAATTATATGCATGCGTGTATTTATATTAGCAACGTAGAATACGTATACATAAAAAACATATTATATATTAAACAAATACGTGTAACTGAAACTGAAAACAAAGTAAACAAAAAAAAGAAAAGAAAAGGAACCTTTAGTCCCGGTTGGGGTTACCAACCGGGACTAAAAATGAACTCATTAGTCCCGGTTGGTAACCCCAACCGGGACTAAAGGGTGCGCCATGAGTTCGCTCAATTTGGAGGGCCTTTAGTCCCCGTTGGTGTTACCAACCGGGACTAAAGGTCCCTCTTTAATCTCGGCTCGATGACCCGGATCAAGGTTCCACCTTTAGTCAGGATCGTTGTCCGTGCGATGGTAACCGGGACTAAAGGCATTACCGCCGGGACAACAAGTCCATTCTGTAGTAGTGTAGATATAGATATAGATATAGATATAGATATAGATATAGATATAGATATAGAAAGATATAGATTGGATTGAACATTAGTCATTTGGAATTGGATTTTGATTGGATGTTGGATCATTTTCTTGGATTTTAATTGAACTTCTTGATTTGGATTTGGATTCTAATCCACTCCTATCTCTACCTATGAGCACCTCCGGAAGATTGGGATAATAGATCTTGAGATTGACCAAGTCACCACACAGGCACCGCTCACATACACGCACACTCACCCCTATGAATGCACATGCACACACACCTTACCGTTATGAGCACCTCTAGAAGACTGGGTTCAGCGTATCTCAAGATTAACAAAATCACCACATAGAACCTCGCTATCGACACAGCGCTATCACTAAGAAAATAGCATCGTTAGATACTAGAATAAACATGAAAATAAGAACACGTGTATCAAGTTGAAGACTTTAAACCTGAGTGGTTAGGTTCTGCCACAAAGAACCTAACGAGCAGAGCTGTTCAATCGCCGGTATTTAAATATTTAACTTTATGTTCACACTATATAATTTTTCACAAAACTGAATGAAGATTGTTGCTAATGATCTAACTATGGTAGGAGCTACTTTGTCCAACTTAGTAGAAGGCGCATATATGGGCACATGATAAAAAAAAGTCTAGCTTTTAAATCTTATACCTCAAATTCACAGTGTCACCCCATCACGGCATGGTAGGGTCTCGTGGGAGCTCCATGGTCGCGGTCGCAGGCCTGGAGCTTCGTCAAGAGCCTACCACGCTCGCAGCGACCTCCTCCTTAAACCCTCCCCCCCCCCACCACACACCCCGTCATGGCCATGGTCACTCCCGCCCCAACCTCGTTCGGTCGCCTCCTCTGCCGCTTGCTCCGATGGCATCACCGCCGCCATCTCTCCTGTCCCCACTCCCCACCATCGGGCCTGCCTGCCTCCCACGACCCCTTTTCTAAGACCACCGGAGATGGAGAAGAAAAGAGGAAGGGGACTGTAAGGCACAGGATGCGTGTCGTGCTAGAGCGCAACATGTCGTCAGTTAGAGTTTGCATTGTCGGGGTGTGACAGACAATCGCTGGCTCGCTGCGTTCTTCATAATCAACATCAAAATTTAACAACATAGGCACGTTTCTCTAGTCAATTACTATATAACCACAGCAGCACCCCCTCACTCCCATTGAAACGCATAGACATACTTCTAGTAAATCAAATTACATCCCAAGCTCACAAAAGTTCCCAAAAAAGGACTTAAACAACCTTCACAAAAGTTTGATGCAAAGTCAAAAGAAAAGGTTAGAACAGACACTTTGGATTACACAGCTGACAGCTACACCTAAAAAGGCCCGAGCATGCACTCAAAAATTGTTACCAGGTCAAAGCCAAACCCTACCCTATCCACCACACCGAAACCGCCGGTTCCATCCGTGAAAAGCTCGGAGCGTGAGAATAACCAAGCAAAATCACATCATTTATTTATTTTTCACATCATATCAGAAAAGCGCGGTCCGATGCAACAGGACGATCTGTGGTAGCCACCAGCCACAAGCACTGCCCCGTCGTCGTCCCCGGGAGGCCGGCGGCGGCGGCGTAAGCAGGCGAAGTGGTGAACTGGGAGGGCGAGCCGCCGAGGTAGGGCGCGGTGAACACAGAGGTGAACACCGGATGAGGAGACCCCGAGCCCGAGCGGTGGTCGTTATCGTCGGCGCTGATAGTACTGGCGGTGGCAGCGTGATGCGGCGCCGGTGGGAGCAGCACGGGGCGGTTCTTGCGGCGGCCGGAGCCAATCGGCACGTTGCGGATCGCGCCACCGGCCGTCCAGTAGCGGTGGCAGGCCCGGCAGAAGTGGCGCGGCTGGTTGACGTTGTAGTTGTTGAAGTAGCAGAACTTGGTGTCCCGGCTCAGGCAGCGTGGGCACGGCAGCCGCACCTCTGCCGCCGCCGCGCGCGCCCGCGCCACCTCCTCCAGCAGGTCGGCGCTCCCTCGCCCCGACGACGCCTGCTGCTGCAGCCTCGGTGGCGCGGCGCCGGCGCCCGCGTGGTGCATGGGCGGCTGCGGCGGCGGCTGCTGCTGCGTGGTGATGACCTTGCCGAACAGTTTGATGCCCGCCGCGCGCCCGGTGCACGCGGCCGCCGCCCTGGCCGGCATCTCGACGTGTGGCAGCATGTTGCTGTTGCGCGATCGAGGCGTGTGGTGTGGTGGCTGGTTTTCGATGGTTTCTCAAGGAGCTATCTATCTCGTACTATCAGGCATCCAGTAGACCTGGCTCTTGTATATATATAGCTATAGCATATGTGAGAGCCAGTGGCTCAGTGCTTGGGTGCGTGCGCGGTGGACACCATGATTTGTGGTGCCTTTTGGGCTTTTGGCCGCGGTACCTGTCGACATTTCAGTACGTACTCACAACACATACGCCGCCGTACCTGTGTTGGTTGTCTGCAAAGTCACGTTTCAGTATAAACTTTCCAAAGAAATGTAAGAACTGACTGAGCAAGGTTTATTTACATGAGCAGATAAATTTCCCGACGAGGTTCATCAAGCATTTCTCTTGCAATCTGCAGACGCTTCAGTGTGTTTTATAGCTAGCAGAACGGTAAAGAAGTAAAAGCTCCAGGAGTCAACCTATATAGGACCTAAGAGGCAGGGCAGGCAAGACTTGGTTACTAAGAATCTGAGCAAAGCACTAGCTGCACCTTCCTAAGCTTTTCCCATGGTCACTTTGCGTTTGTGTGAAATAAAAGTTCACAGAAAAAGCGCAAAAAAAACTATCTAAAACAAGATTCTCGCCTTTACTCTATCTCGGTAAAGCGCAGTGCTTTGGGTGTTCATGGTCTTTATCCTCCGAATCAAAAGTGAGAATCTTTTTGGTTGGAAAGACCGACCCATGTCTTCCTTTTCCTGCCAATCCAAAAGAAAAGTGGCTCTTTATAGCTTTGCACTTTGGTTGCAAAGCCAAATTGCCCAGGAACCTGCAAGTTTAACCTCATGAAGAATTACGAGCTGTTTTCTGAAGAAAAAACAGCACTTCGTCGACGTTCGATCTGCTGATGGAGTTTCTCAGGGTCAATGTGTTCACGGTCGCTAGCGTGGGGGTCGAAAATAATCGAAAGCGATCTCCAGTTTAGTAGATGGAAAAATTAGATCATGATGGCTAGATATATGACGTGACGCAGTGTACGCGTATAGTGTGAGGGCATGCTCGGTTGGCTTTCAATTCTAAATTATGGTAAGCAAAAAAATTTAGTCATCAACTGGTCTATTGCAGAATTGGCACACCAATATTTATGGCCAAAATTTTAACAATGACCTAGAAACTTCTGAAATTGCATTAGAGAGAAAAGGTGCTTTCTCGAGTAATTAGCTTTTGTTCCATATATCCACACTGGGCGGTCTGCCAAGTGAGGAAGCGCTCCTCGTGCATCTAGCCTCGCAATTCTATACTCTTGCTTATTAATATAAAGCCAGGTAACCGGAGGTAATACTTGTATCATGGCGTCCGTCAGAACCGGACAGCCCCGCTGGCAGGCCGGGAGGCCCAGAAGGCTTGCCTATCTATTCCTATCCAGTATCCACTCACCTCCAGTCACTGTAGTTTTCTAAAAAACGAAAAAGAAAAAACTCACCACAACACCTAGAGCCTGTGACCGCGCTCCACCGCGCATCCCGCCTGCCATCTCCACCGTGCCTCCTGCCCGCCTTCTCTCCAATGCGCCTCCCTCTCCACCGCACGCTCCCGCTCGCCTTCCTCTCCATCGCGTCTCTCTCTCCACCGCGCCTCCCGCCTGCCTTATCCACCGGAGTGACCTGCTATGGCCTTCTCCATCAGATCTGTTGAAAGGTCCTTGTTTGGTTTTAGTAATTAAGTAACAACCTAGGTGGACTAATTGTTTTTAATGTGAGATACACATGTGATTAGTCCATAGGTACATGTGTGTGAGCAACATATACCATGGAGGTGAAATGGCTCAGAGATGTTGCAAAGCTCACACATGTGATGAAGGAGCTCATTGCACATGAGACGTGACATTGAGTCATGTGATCAAGGTGGAGAAGATCAAGACATGACTTGGCTCGATGGACCGGTTGCAAGTGTGAAGGGCAAGTTCAGTGATGACTTGGCGCCGATGGACTGAAACAACGGTGAAGAGCAAGTGAAGTCAAGATCGATAAACCAATATGGTCACATGATGATATGGAGTGGATCAAATCATTGTCGATCATGTCGGTGCATGTGTTGCATCAACATCAAAGGAGTTGGAATGGAATGCGCAAGGCAAAGGTATAACCTAGGGCATTTTATTTCAACGGTCATAGGTGTGTAGAGAAGTTTATGACCAGGTTTAGGATAGATGATCACACTATCAAGAGAGGCAAACTTGTTTGCATATCGGTCATCTAGTGCCACTCGAGTGATCTAACTTTGCATCGTTGCTAAGATCGAGTGGTGTGTCAAGTTGAGTGGCTAACTCCTTAAATTTTTTGTGAAAAGCTAACACACGTACATAAGGTGTTGTACACTTGGTGGTGTTGGCACATTTGTAAAGGAGAAGAAATTAGAGTTGAAGTGGATCAACTCATAGAAGAAACAGAGGCGGAAGGAGGTCACTAGAAGTGACCGGACGTAGGCCTCAGCAGGACCTGCGCGTCCAATCAGTGTAGGCTGAGAGGCGCGATCTCGGTCTTGATGACCGGACGCTGGCGCCTGCTGGTGACCGGACGCGATGCTCCTACGTCCGTTCATTGGTGACGTATGGTGACGTGGCGTTAGTGGGCTGACCAGAGAGGACCGGAACGCTGACCGCGTGTCAGGTCACGTTGGACCGGACACATCAGGTCACGGTTTTGCCTCTCTGGACCCTCTCTAGAGTCGACCTGACTCCGCGTGGCGCAGTGTCGGAAGGAGGGATCGGCGCGTCGATCGATTTCTCGGCGTGAACAAGCTTGCGAGGACCTGACGCGGCGTGGCTGCGTCCTATCATGCTCCTGTGAGTCCGGTCGTCACTTGATCGTTGAGGAGGTGTCAGTGACCGTTGGGATTGCACGGCCAAGGTTGAACGTGGAGGCCACGTGGCATGATCGTAGTGATCGGATGCTGGCCGGGTGCGTTCAGTCATCTTGACCAGCGTGGCCAGTCACCTCGAGTTGCCTTCAGTGAAGGGGTAACGGCTAGTTTAGCCCGTGGGGCTATAAATAGAAGTGTTAGCCAGCCTTTGACCAACAGCTGAGCACCCTTGAGCCTTGGTGGCTTGTGTAGATGTGCTTGGGAGCCCTCTAACTCACTTGAGCTTGATAGTGTTCATCCGATCGAGTGAGTGAGCGAATCTAGTGCGATTGCATCGTGAGGTTGCATCGAGTGGCACTAGGTGATCGAGTTGTAAGCCGGTGGTGCTTGTTACTCTTGGAGGTTGCCACCTCCTAGACAGCTTGGTGGCTTGTGACTCCGTTGAAGCACGTGAGAAGATTGTGCGGTGCTCTGGAGGAGGATTTATGAGGGGGGTTGTGCTCACCCCGCGGGGATCGCGAAGAGCAACTCTAGTAGAGCGTGTCATTGAGCTACCCTTACTTTTGGGGTAGGTTCTTGCGGTGCCTGACGTGCGGGCTTGGCAGGTGATGCCAATTAACCGCCGAACCATCAAGTGAGCGGTCGACACAACGGGGACTAGCGTGTTGGCAAGCACGTGAACCTTGGGATAAAATCATAGTGTCATCCTTGTCTTCCCGTTGGTTTGCATCCCCTTTACACAAGCTTGTATTTACATTCATATGCATTGTGCTTGTGTAGTTGCTCTTGTAATTAGTTGAGTTGTGTAGTTGGCTAGTTACCTTCTTGCTTGTGTAGCATAGAAGTAGCTCCCTTACGTGACTAATTTGGTTTTAGTAACCTTGTTAATCACATTGCTTAGTTTGTGTAGCTAAGTATTTTGCGCTCTATAATTTAGCTTGTGTAGCCTTGTTATTGAGAATTGCTAGTGAGCTTAGTGAGCTTAAGCTTTGTGCGCTTTGCATCACTAGATTATGTAGGTGCTCCCCGGTTTGCATGAAGTACTAGTTGCATAGGTTTGTGTGACTTTGCAAGCTAGAATTGGTTAGGTGAGCACTAGCTAGCCCAGCACCTTTGTTGCCTTATTAGGATCTTTACCGACCCGAGAGGATGGTGAACTATGGGCTAGATGTTGATTGTCCACACATTTTTTATGGCACACACTTTGCACGGTGGAAAAATTCAATGATATGCAATTTTAAGTTTATTTGCCCTCAAATGTGGTGGATGGTAGATGTAGGCTTTTCTCATGTGTTGGATGAAGATAATCTAACTCAAGCATAAGAGAAATGCCTAGATCTTGACATCCAAGCTACTAACATCATGTATAGATCTTTGGATGATTGCATATTTGGAGAGATCATTAACATGAAGACCGCCCATGAGATTTGGATTCATCTCAATAAGAAGTATGGGACGATCTCCGATGATGATGATGAGCCCAAGGAGGAGGCGCATGAGGATGTTGAGCATGACCACAACTTGGTGATTGTGGAAGATTGCTCCACCTCATGGTCAAGTGATGATGATGATCATACCACAAGATCACTTGATAAGATTGATGATGATGCCACAAATGATGCCAATGATGATGCTACTCCATGCACACTTGATGGTGATGATGATGGATATGAGAGTGATGTCTCTACAAGCTCATCCACTACATCAAATTGCTTCATGTCACAAGGTGACACCAAGGTATCTAATGCAAATGTGATTGATCTTGATTCATATGAGGAGCTTCTAGATAGATTTGGTAGCATGATCAAGGCTTTAGAAAAAGGGATGGCTAAAACCGAGAAATTGAAAAATAAAAACTCTTTTCTAAAGAACACATGTGAATAACAAAAGCATCTACTTTATGTTACTACTTGTTCACATGAGGAGCTAAAATTGGCTTATGTGGAACTTAATGTTGCTCATGATAACTTGGTACAAGACCATACTTTTCTCACTAAAGAGCTTTCCAATGAAAAGACTAAAATTAGTGAGAGCTCATCACATGGGTCAAATGATCAATCACACACTACTAAATTTTGACCCTGTTTCAACGCCCAAAAAGTGTTGCCATAGGCCCGAAATAGTTGCAATAGCAGAAATAGCAACA